AAATATAACAGATTTGAACAAATACGCACAAAAACATCAAAATTAGCACAGAAACAGTACTATATAACATTATAGTCACATTCTAGACAGTTTATCAGCTAAAAAATGTTAATTTTGGGGTAAGTTACACTTTAAATAAAGTTCAGCGTTCTGTGACCTGATCAAACCTTGAATGAGGTTTCTGCTGTGAAGTCTGTTGGAACTCTAGAGCTGCTAAACAGGCTGGGTTTTCTCACTCTTCATTCAATCCTCCTGCTTGTGGAGCTTGTTCAGCTTTTTTCTGTATCTATGCTGTATGATGTATTGCTACTGAAAGTCACAGCACACTACGTTGGATCTTTTTGTCTGGGTTTTTCCAAAATCTGCTTGGGCAAATAAAAAAAGGAGCAAATAAAAATCATGACATATTTGACTGTCAWGTTTCTAGAACCCACATCAGATTTATGAACGTTTGGTTTCTTTGTTGTGAATTTTAAAAGCGAGCAGAAAAGTTATGTATACAGTGTGATATAAACAGAATAAAAAAAACCCGACCAGATTTCCATAGTGCACCAACCAGAGCATTTGAAGTGATTGTTTTCTCTTAAAGCAGGCCTTCTGKTTTGTATCAATGCAGCGCTGGTGCCTCTCAGCCATGGGAAGCACCTGTTTATCAGTAACCTGTGCTTTGTTTGAATCAGGGGTCTGTGTGTTTTAGTGTTGGTCTGATGTTTTCCTCAGTTGGAGGAGGCGGAGGAGAAGTGGGTTGTCAGGGTAACCAGAGGCCAATAAAGGTTATGAATGTTCCATTACAGTCAGGACTGCTGTAGAAGGTAAGACTGAACGATCTTTTCACTATAAACTGGAGAGGGAGCAACACAATCTACCGCACAACTTTGCATCATTCTTTTATCCTTCCACGATCTGAAAGCTAGCAGGCTCAAGTTTTCTTTTATTAAAACATGAGTCATTCAAGTTCTGTCTGTTTCCGTGCAGAAATGATCAAATATTTGACAGCACATTAGGACAACTAACCAAACAGACCATACCCAGCTAGGTTGCTAGAAACAAACCTAAACAGTTGACAAAACCTTCCTCCTCATGCATGTGTGTGTGTGATGACTGATAGGAGAGCGTTTAAATCAGACTTCTGCACTGTCGCACACTGAGACGTCACAGGGTCCCTGTTCTTTAATCATGCATTCGCCCTTTGTTTATATTAGCTGTCAACACAAAGCGGTGGAAAACATCCCCTGGGATACCGCACACAACGTGTGTACAAAAGGTGTGTGTGTTTACTCAAAGATCAGAAACATACTGTATTTTCAGGGACAAAGTGTAAACCGTGTGTGTGCAGAGTGTGTGCTCGAGGTCTGAGTTCATCATGCAAAGGGCCATGTGGCGTGTTCTCAGCCCGGTTTCCATGATGGACATCGCCAGGCTAGCAGCTGGCAGCTCATCTACATTGTTCCCTTTTGTCTGAGGATCTGGTCCAATCTGCTGCAGACGGCAGCTAACATGAACTTAATAGTAAATTTCACCGAGTTGATTATTAACGACACAGAAAAGACTCACACTGAGCCACAACTGCTGCTCCCACACCCTTTAAATACACTGCTACATAGTGCTGCAGTATATCTTCATTGTGTCTTTGTCTGACGCTGATAGGGAACTTCCTCTGCTTCCTGAGGTTAGGAAATACCAACTTTCTTTGTCATGCAACAGCAACATCAGTGGGAAGTCAGACACAATTTGCCCACTTTCTCAAAAATCCCCCCTTAATAACACGAACATCTTGTATTTAAACTTTTTGCATGTTTCCCCCTCTCAGCTGTTGGAGAACATCACACCCATGGACACCGCACGTCACTTATGGGCGCCACATGTTTGGTCAGGTAGGTGACGGAGTGTGTGTTTTGGTGTGGTCTCCTCTGCTGCTCATTATTATTTTCAGCCACTGTTTGGGGATCATACAGTGTGCTCACAGATTGTTTGCTCAAATGAATCATCTGTTTGAACTGCCGTACACAACTGGATTTGTCATTTAATGTGTGGAGTTTCTAGGTGTTGGAGAAAAATGGACACACATTTCTGTAAATGTGAGAAAAGAAAAAAGACAAAATGGAAATGGAGATTAAAATGTGTTCTGAATGTATGCCAATTTTATTTTGAGTGTGTTGCATATTTTTTAAGCACAGCATAGCTCTGACCTTTAAAGAAACATATCTACTTTTTGAAGGAAGAAAAAAAACCCCAAAGATGATTCATTTACTAYAAAGGAATTGTGAACAGTTTCAAATATCAGTCAGAWTTGGTACAAAACCYTCAGGCTTCTGCTAGAAAGCTGACGATGAAGAGAAACTTYGTCTTTCAGAACAACAACGACCTAAAGCATACATCCAAACCAACAAAAGGTGGACTTCACAAGACTGAAGCTTTGGAATGACCCAGCCAGAGTCCAGACCTGARTCCCATAGAAAATCTGTGTGATGATCCGAGGAGGGCTAGGAACAAGAGATATCCTCAAAATCTGACAGATTTGGAGCATTTTTGCAAAGAAAAGTGGGCAAATATTGTCAAATCAAGATGTGTGATGTTGGTTGATTCTCACCCAAAGAGACTGTGTTGTAATAAAGTCTAAAGAGAATCATTAGTTCAAGGGTGTGCACACTTATGTAACCACATTTTTTATTTTTTTTTTTTTACTTCCGCTCTGAAAAATATTTCTTTTTTTTTTTAAATCATACTATTTAGAGGTGTTGTACTGATGTTGGTTCAAGGGTCTGGCAGAACAGGTGCAGAATATTTGACACTTAGAATGCTCACAGGTGGATCTTATTTAAAGAGGACCTATTATGCAAAATTCACTTTTTAAATTCTTTTTTACTCATCTTTGGGTATGTACTTCTTTAAAAAAACAGTCCTAGGACCAAAAAAATGCACCCAGGGGCATATTTACTGTAAGTAAATGTATTTTTAATGTGTATTAACGACAAGTTTTATACTTCCGTCATTTTGTGATGTCACAAGCTGTACGACAACCCACCAGAACCTGCGTTCAGCCCCTCACCTAGCAACCCCCGGGTGAGGCTCCACCTCCTCAGTATAAAGAGCCATCACGGTGTTGTTGTGCAATGCTCAACTCATTTCAAGTAAGCCTCCGATAGGGCAATGGATAGAGTGTTGGACCAGAGAGCGGGAGACCAGGGTTGGAGACCAGCACGGACACAATTTAATTATTTATTTATTTTTCGTTCGTTATGAACACGTTTTCTCATGTACCTCTTTTGTTTAGCTTATTAAAGCCTTGTTAAAGCCTATTTGTTCCAGTTTCTGAGGTATTTTGACCGCTGCTGCTCCCTGCTCTGCTAACAGCATGCAGAGTAAGCGAAGAGCAGAGGAGGGAGAGGGAAAAAAAAGCTGCGACCGACTCTGCCTCTGGGTCTCATATGGTTGTACAACGGAGCTTCTGCTATTATTAGCCATGCTAACGTAAACGCTGGCTTTGGAGGGCGGCGTTAATGTCAACAGATTTTTGGAGGGCGTTACCAACAGAGCTCATTAACAAAAACAGCTCTTCTGTCCTGAAGTCAGAGCAGGCAGAATTAGAAAATGAGAAATTTTATTATCTGAGAATTATTTTGTGCATTAAATTGAATGAACATGGTCTGGATAGCCTACAGACATACCATAAAAATTTCTAGGACCCATTATTGGTCTCCTTTAAAAAATTATGTTGCTCCTGAAAGGAATGGTTCAGGCCTCAGAACAAGGAAACAGGAGGTGTATGTACACACACACACACACACACACACACACACACACACACGCACACACGCACACACACACACCTCTGATTAGTTTTAGATTTTCTGGAGTTATTGAAAATAAGTTCTTAAAACCGTTTCTATCCATTATTCTGGTTTCTTTTGTGTGGATTCATTACTTATGAATGAGAGAGAGGTGAATACTTTTACAACCCACTGTATTTAAATATCACAGTTCAGTTTGTGTTCATTTTTTACAACTGGAACAAAAGCTCAGATACTAAAAGACACATTTCAAGCAGTCTGAACAGGAGGCAAAAAAACCTGAACACACAATCTTTTAATTTAAATATATTTAACCATTATTTGTTAATAAACAAGAAACTTTACAGCTGCTATAAAAACATGCAAAATTTATAGAATTGTCTGTGGTTAGTCTGATCTTGTATTGAGGGACAATTTATTTGAATCAAAACCTAMTGGATGCAAGTCTTGGCAAAGTTGATATGCAAAGACTACAAATAAAGAGTTTAGAAAAGTATGTTAAGCTTCTCTATATTCAGTAGATAAGAATGTGAAAGAGAGAGCTGTTAGAAAACTCATCTGTTTTCAGTGACATCAATCTAAAACATAAAAAAGCACTCAGTACTTAAGAAAATTTCTTGAAGCAGACCTTAAATTAGGCTTTTTGAAATCAACTAAAACTAAACAAACCAGAAAAGTGAAGTCTAGCCCTAATCAGCACCATCCATCTCMTTTAAGGAGTGTGTGAAGTTTTTGTAAAGGCCAGGTGAGAGAAGGATGTAAGAACGTGTCTGAAAACACGAGGAAGTCGTGCTTTTTGCACTTGCACAACTTCCAAAAATAACTTGCTCAATGTCCAAACCCACAGAGACGAACATTCACTAAGAGTCTTATACAAAGTGTTTTTGTACTGAAGGAGAAATACAAGTAAATGTAATAAAGGTTTTGATTTGGTGAGGAAACCCACCATTTTAATTTTMTGCTTAATTACTAACACCACTGCAGAGATCCGGCATCAAAACCGGGAACCAACTTAATCAACTCACCCAAATCTGCAACTTGATCCTCTTGTCGTTGCGGAAGACAGTTTTGACCTTAAAGTCGATGCCCACGGTGCTGACGAAGGCAGAGTTGAAGGAGTCGTCAGCGTAGCGGAACAGAAACGAGGTTTTGCCCACACTGCTGTTGCCGATGATCAGCAGCTTGAACATGTAGTCGAAGTTCTGGTCGGCCGCATCCTTCTGCGAGGGCTGCTGCTGGAGCCGTGACTCGTTTGAGGCCATCTGGAGAGCAGGAACCAAAAAATTATCCATAAAAATTACGATAACATGTAGAAACACTTTACCAAAAACATCTTCTACCACACTGTGACAGCAGAAACCCATTAAGAACAGCTGAGCTATTGTTTGATCTGATATTAACGTGACAAATTATTATCTCAGGTCACAGTTATTCACAGAGACCATCTGGCTCGGTACCAGTCATCCTGTAACCTAGCAGAGAGCTAAGGCCCCCTTCACACTGGATGATGACCTTGTGGTGTGTGGTCTTCTTAGAGTCCTTCACAAGCTGTTGAGAATTAAAATTTCTAAATAGAACGGAAACACCAACTTGGTGTGCACTATGATTATAGCAGCACCGTGACTGGTTTCACACTGAAGACATTGTGAATTAGTGGTGATCCCGTCACGTTCTAAAAGTTGAAATAGTTTTSAAGAGCATGGTGGAGTCATGAAACAGTGTGAAGGGGACCTAAATGTGGAAAACGTCGCCTTCCCATTTCCAATTTTTTAAAAATTCTTTCCCACTCTCCTTTAGGAATTAAAAGACAATTTTCTTTTTCTTTAACAAAGTCGTCTAGCGAACTGATGCTAAGATATTAGGGTAGCTCTCAAGAGTCCCTCGGTACTCCACTAAACTGACTCACAGTCTTTATACTACAACAGAAGGGCAATCACCTTCAGGATCCYCTCATATCTTAAAAGTAATGCCGTAACCACAGTCTGCATGTTATCTGGACAAATTGACAAAGGGACAAATGCAGATGAGAATAATTTACAGACTGCTCAATGCAGAGCACAGAGACCAAACTTTAGTAAAACAACAACAAATGAATCAGGCTACAATACTTAGAATATACAAGCAAGAAATCCAAAGTTTCACACAAAAATTGTGTACTTGCACTCATCAACATACAATAGATCTGTGGTTCTTCATGTTGGGGTTGAAACTACACTGTGAGTCACCAAATATGAAATGTAAGGATTGGAGACATGTTTKCGCTGCCATTATCCCACAACAATAAATCTAAAGAAACCAGCAGATTGTGTTGAATCTTCACTTCACCGTCTCCCATCCTGAGCAGCACAAGCAGCAATGTTACAGTTCAACCTGTGAAAATTTAAATGGAGTTAATAATCTCCTCTGCTATTGTTTTGTGGGTCAAAAAGCTAAAAAAAAATTTGGGAATTTCTGCAAAAAACATGTAAATGTTTAAACTCAGCTTAGTTTATTTAAAATAAGGCAGTTTGCAACAAAAATTATCTTAGGACTGTGTACAGAAAAAGTAAAAGTGTCTGGTTCAAACCCAGTTATATTTCAGTGCAATTTATTCAACTCAGCAGTTTAATTTAACTTCAAATTWTAATTCAGTTCATACCTATTAACTTCAGCGTATTTGTAACAATAAAATCCCAATTTTGAAAAGGATCAAACTAAATCCTTTCTGAAGAGAATAATTTCCCTCGGGCTACAGATCTGTTACAGTGATGGACAGTAGATCATTTTAAAGTGATGACCAGGCTGGCTGAATCTTATCACTACATATGCAGGGAAAAAAAACATGAAAATTATTTTCCTGATGTTATGTTTATTGGCATTATTACAGGTGTGTTGAGTTGAAATGTTTAAATAAATCAATGATTAAAGCTCATAACTTTGTTTTAGAACACATGGAGATGGTTTCATTAGAATGAGGTAGCCCTGTGACGGACCTCACGGTTCACGGTGTACCCCGCTCCTCGCACAGCGACTGCTGGGCACCACTGACCCCCCCCATGACCCTAAAAGGAAGAAGTGGGTAAAAGTGGATTGCTGAATATAATAAGGTGTTTGCACTGCTGTTCTTGTACAATCGCCAGGAATAACAAATCAAACAGCAGGGCTTTTTAGTTTTAGCTGGTTAAYCTAAAACTTGGCACCAGCTTATAAAACTTTTAATCAGTATGGATCAGCAGAATTTGTGTCAAAAATTTTCTTACGTAAAACTGTTTTACGGTTAAGACATTTAATTTAGTGTTTTTAAGTTTAAACATTGTGACTTTAAATTAAAAAAGGAAGCTGTGCCATCTGTCCCTCTGCCTTATCAGGACCATAAATCTCTGTAATCTGTCCTGGAGGCAGGTATGACATTCCCAGCCAGTTAACCTTTTTTTTTTTTTATTGTCTGTCGTCCAAACAGTGGAAACTAACAAGCAGCTGCACAGCTCAGGGCGTTAAACGAGGAACAGACAGCTGGCCRTATGTCCTCTCAAGCGGGAGGCCGATCAATCGCTGCAGCTCTGCCTCCGTCTTGTGAGACCTGTCTCCGTGGAGACCAGAGTGAGGCTCAGCTGCACAGAAGATCATTAGCGGTCAGGGCATTCAGTTTGTTCGCCTTTCAAACACCCAAATGGAAGTCTTCAGAGCAGGACAGGAAAATCTGTCATCTTTCTGCCCTAAAGGCCATCAGAGATAAAACGTGGGAGGAGGAAGATCATTAATGAGAACTTAAAGGTGCATGACCATAACAGTTACCACACTGACCATATTATTTTCATAATAATTACCATACATGGCACAACAAGACTACTCCTTGTTTCTTASTTCAACACTAAAAAACTGGTTTAGTTTACCTCTATACACAATCATAAAGAATCATGAGTAGGGATGCAAGTTATCGATTAATGGATTAATCTAAAGTTGATTGATCTTATCGATCGACTAACCATTAATTGATAAGCAGCCATTTTCCTAAAAACCTGACATTTCTCTTGAATCAAGGGTCTCTCTATGACGTGAAGGGCTAATTTTTTATACTAAATTAAAAAGTACAGTATTATATTTTATAAAAT